GACAGGACTGAGCACCTGCTGCTGCATGCTGTTAAAATCAGGAGATTGTTAGATTGAACTAAGTCAAGTCAAGATAATTTGTCTTACTTTATGGAAAATAAAATTTTCTTCTCTGTACTAGCAGAAAACTGGTCTATTTTGACTGACTTTGAATGAAGCAGTTAAGTGCAGGCTCCTTCCTCTCTGCTTCCGCTAAATTCATGATGGGTTTGCTGCAACCACACTGGCTTTGAACACACCCAGGGTGGAGAGTTTGTGGTGGTGCCAGGGAAAGATGCTGGCTTCCTGGTGATCCCTTGCTGTGGTCCAAAGCTGTCTCAAGAATATTTGGTGCCCCCAGTTGATGTGGTTGTTGGAGTGTAACGATACACTCTTCAGTGCTAAAAACTGAAGTCTGGCACATGAGCAGCATGCAGGCCTTTTTCAGATGATGTATCCTGAAAGTTCTGTAGTCTCAGTGATACCTGCTGGGAGCCATAAACTTTGGTAGACTAACTCCTTCCCTTTCCAGTGTTCCAGTACTGACATATGTGTTTAAAATGCAACTAAAACTAGTAAATGGACCTGTGTGTGACCAAATCTTAACATGCCATGAAGAGAAAAAAGATCTTAGATTTATGCCAGGAATGGCTTAAATGAAGCAAAATAAATTTACACATGCTAATACTGTTTGTAATTTTTAGTGTCTTGTATCAGCCTATAAGTTTTGTTGTTCTTTTTTCTTGCTTAGATGAAGCATTTCAGTCCTTAGATGAAGAGACATTGGAAGCAATGGCAAAACACGAGACTGAAGAAGAAAATATCTTCCAAGTGTTTAAAAAACAAGTAGCTGCTGAACCAGAGCAGGTCAGAAGATGGGGTGGCCTTTGAAAGTAGCAGTTCTGACACAGCATCCTGCTGCACCTGCAACATTTCACTGCCTTTTGTACCTAGTTAGAAATAGGAATGCCTCCTCACCCTCCACACACCTAACCTACACACTCTCATCTTCGTTATATGCTGAAACTTAATTCATGCCCAAGTAAGAGTGTAGCAGCTGCTCATCCATCTTAAACAGCCGCTGGTCAGGATGAGTTGGCACGAGGTTGCTGAATCCCCCACAGTGTGGAAGGAGCCACCATCCTGCAAACATGGTTCGAACCAAAGGACATGGAGAACCACTGCACTGTTCCCCAGCCTGCAGCCCTTTGGGCCTTCCTTCTCAGCAGAACAAAAACTGCAGAGAAGAGCTCTGTCACTGTCACCAGCTGCATTCGGGGGTGGCTTGGCTTTTTTAAGGTTGAAGGAATTAGTGATGACTTTAGAATTTCCACTATTTAAAACAGAAATCTTCTTCCCCTGTCATGCTATTTCGTATTGCTGCAAAAGTCTTAAAAGATGCATTGTCAAACAAAACCATGGTCCCCGGTTTAATTCAGAGAAGAAAGAGTCCTAAATCCATCAAAGTGGTGAAGAAGAAATTCTCTCTGTGTTTTGCCTGGTAGCTGAGGGGTTAAGGTACACACTCAGAAAGTAGGAGACTTTGAGTCTGTTCTCTTCTCCACCTTAGTCTGTTCTCTTCTCTGCCTTAGGTATGTGCCTCACTCTCTCTGACCATCTCTGTACTGACTGATCTGTCCAAGTGTCCTTTTGCTGATAATATGTGAATTGCTATTAACTGAAAAACAAAGGATAGGTCTGAAAATACCTTCTTGAACATTACAATAGTCTTGTATTTAGATGCAGAACTGCAGACAGAAAGATCTGGATTGCATTCCTAACTGTGTGCAGGTCTGTGTGCTAATTATCCAGCTGCTCTTTTTCTGTCTCAAGACTGTAACATACACAACCTTGCATTTCCGGGTCCCTTGGTTAAGCAATTACAAATCACTGCAGATGATCCCTGGATCACTGAAAAAATATGGTATGAATGAATACTTGCATGATTCACATAGTTAAGAAAACTTACATAAGAAATCTGTCTTATTTAGCATGCTGCACTTGCAAACGATATTTTGCCATGGTTATTAAACAACTGACCTTTTTCTGATCTATCTACAGGTTTGTCTGTGTCACTAAACACCTATTTGATACCAAGATGAAAGGACAGTCATGAGAACTTAAATTTCTGCTGTATTTCAGATTATTAGATACTGCAGAGGAGGAGGAGGTCCACTCTGGGTGTCAGGTGAAAATAGGCCTGAAGAAAAAGATATCCCAAATTGTGTATGTGGTGCCAAAAGGATATTTGAATTCCAGGTATGTAAGCTCATAATACAGGTAATGTATTTCCGACTCCGGATCTAATGGTATAGGTGTTGGCTTGTAATTTGAGCAAGAAGGTTGAAGTTGCAACAAACTAACTACACTAAATGATTGAACAGAGCCTTTATTTACTCTTGTAAGAGCTTTTTCACTTCATTATGTGGATTATAAATAGGTTTGGCTGGAAGCATTCAGCTGTAGAATTTTGAATGCTAGAGGTGTATGTATGGTGAACACAGTATCATGGAAAGGCAAAATATAGTTACTAATGGAATTTCAAATGGTGGGAGGCTTTCAAATCAGGCAAGTCTTATAAGGCCAAATAAAACCTAGAATTCCAAATTTGGTTTATTTGAGCTGCCGTATACATAGTAGCTTCAGCTGGGATTTTGGTGTAAGAGAATATCAATTCTTATGCCAAGGACTGTTCTTCAGGAGGAGAAATTGGGAGAGGGGAGAAGTCTGTGGCCTGCCTCTAAACCTTTTGTTTTTTCTTGAAGATTATGCCACAGCTCCTGAACCACCTTCAGGTTGACAGCCTTGGAGAGAGCATTGACTGGGGAACGCTGGTGGTGTACACTTGTGCTGACAGCTGCGGTGGGGGAAGTGAATACCTGGAAGAGTTCATATGGAAACAAGACTATTCCATGGGCAGTACTTTATGAGTTGAGTCATCCAAATGGCATACTTGATTTGTTTCACTGCGTCTCTGCACTATGCAAACAGGTAGCTGAACTGAAGTCACTGGTAACTGTGCATCTTGTAACAGTGATAAAACTGCTGAAACTAGACCTTGACAGCCTCTCTTGTGCTCCAGAGGAGCTTTTACTTCAATCTGGTAATGAAGCCAGATGCATTTGTTCAGAAAGCTTTATTTCAAGTCTCATTTCTGGAAGTTTATTTAATAAAGATGGAAAACTTTTGGATTGGTGAAATTATCTTTTCTTGGTAATGGAACTGCAAAAACTTAAAATAATGTAGTCTGTCAGGATTTTCTTCAGGTCACTCAAAAATTAACATTCATTCAAAGAAAAGCAGACTACTCTAAACCCACTTGAGTGCTTATGTTGAAGAGCTGTACACGAGTCAGCTAAGACAAAGCTGCATAGCCTTTTGCTGTGGAATTTAAATCCGCCTCCCTTTCTCAACAGGTACACTAAACCTAACTTTGGAGTTTGTCACCTATTCTGATGGACTGGTTATTTGAGATAAAATGCACAAAAATTAAGTGTTTTATCTGACTTGAAAATTATTAGCCCCATGCAGAAGGAGTTTAAACAAAGTCAGCCCTACCAGAACACGTTTGTCTTGTTACACACTGCCTGTAGCAGCAGATTGGTACCTTAAGTCTGCCATCATTGGTGAAGTTTAAAAATAAGTGTCCTCTGCAGGGATTCTTCCACTGTATGACTGCCATATAGCTGAGGCAAGAGAATAGTGAAACCATAATGCTGAGCTTTACTGTGGTAGTTAGTTGCTTAACTACTCCCACGGCTATGGCAGTATTTGCAGAAAAGGCTTTTTTTTGTGTTTCCCTGTAGAACTGAGTTCAGTTACATATTCCCTTACCCTGCTCCAGCCATTCATGGCTGCTTACCTGTGACACTGTGGGGCCCACTGTGGGGTTTTTGAAATAATTTAGATGTTGAAAGTACTTAAATAAGCAGGCAGAGAATGCAGTACCTGGAAGTGGTTTTGTTATCACAGAACTTAATTTCTAGCAGGGTAGTTTGAAGCCCTGGTCCCTGTTGTAAAAGAGCAAACTGGCTTAAGTCACTGTAGTACAGCTCAACTCATTTTGTTGAAAAACTGTCCTATGGTTTCTTAGGGCTTCAAGCTTTCTGAAGAGTTGAAGAGTTTTGCACATAAGTTGGTAATAGTTCAGGTCCTGCAAAAGCATGGACAGCCATACAGTTACAGCCAAGAGCTCTCAGGAACATTCATGAGCTCACAGCAGAGTGGCATTGCACTGAAGGCAACATAGTGCTTGAGTATATCCTGCACAGCTACATTAACAAACAGCATCTTTCTGATAAAAGCCATGAAACCAGTCATTAAAACACCTGGAGAGACACTGATGTAGAGAGAAGACTGAAGATTAAGGTCACTTGGGATTTGCAAATGGAGCAGTATTATAGCCAGCCAAAACTTAATTTTGTCTGGAATGAAACACCAACTTAGTAATGAGACCACTGTTTACAACTGGGTTAGTTTCAGGTAAAAGCTGTTTGAAATAATGTGTAAGTCATAGAGAGGTTATTATTCCTGGAAATTTACTGAAGGAAAAAAAGGTTATTTTTAGCTCTGAGCCTATTAGGCTTCAAGCATCGTTCAGAAGGAAGATTATGTACATGCTGACTCCAGTTGTAAGGGCTTTGACATTTTACAGGAACACTAATATAGTGAGGCTGTCACAGCTGGTAAAATACAAAGGTAGTAATTTAAAGAAAATCTAGAAGCTAAGCAGGGATCTATTGTTTCAGTCTAGTGCAGCTATTTAAGACTTGCCTAAATCCCATCTGTTGAACATAAGGGAGCACATACTCAAACACAAGCTTCTTTAACCCATCATCCCTTCTGCTTTAACATATTGGAAATATTCAAGGTAGATACTGTCAAGGATGTGACTGCAGGTATGCAAGCCACAGCACTGCTAAGATTCTCTCAAAACAACATGTCACTTATATCAGTGCATCTGCTATTAAAAAAATCTATTAAATAAAAAAAAGTAATTCAATGTATTTCATTCTAGCAGCTGGGTAATTTTAAAATTTATTAAGACAGTTCCCATAGCTGTATAAACAGGGTTTATTGTACATGTGGAGTTGAAGAAGGAAAGTGAAGAAAGGTATATATTATATATATATGTACAGTGAGCCATTTTAATTAATAAATTCATTCTATGTTGCTTAATACTGGAAAGAGGGAATGTGTCTGACAGCAAGGAAATTTAAAATTGAAAAAATTTAAAAGCTAAAATTCTGAAAGTTATAAAAACCATGGTCTTATGGAAGGAACTTAAAACATATATATATGGCAATTAAAGTGGTTTATACACTGAGTGACACAGTTGCATTTGTCTTTAAATCATCTTACAGATTTTCTATTAATAGGACTGGCATTAAAACTATTTAAAAGCTAGAATATAAATAAAAGTTGGAGGGGCTGCTCCAGAAGCAGCCCAGTAAAGCAACTCACAGTAACTCAGTAGACATATTCAAGAAAACGGTTCCCCTTGAGCATCAGGGAAGTAGGCACTAACTGGGAAATAGTCCAAGTCCTGGTGTTTCAGTTGCACTGGAAGTCCGTTTCTTGTTACTGCTGTGCCATACACAATACCTTTTAAAATATACCCCTGATTTCTCTGAAACATGTAGAAACTGTTACGTTGTCTTTCTGAATCCCTTTAAAATAGGATAGATGTTTTCAAATGCTTCATAAATTTCTGCTCGTACTTTAGCACCTGGAAAAAGAGAAGAGATTAAATTAGTTTGTACCTTTTGCCAAATACTTAATTTTAGCTTTTAGAATGTGTATTTGAATGCAACTCTATATAAAATCTACGTGTATCCATAAATCTCCATTTTTACAATCCTTTCTAACACATTTCATAGAGAGCTTACACTACCAGCCTTCTCTTTTTAATGTGACAGCTGCTGAAACTTTCACTAGCATCTCTGTGATGATGCTATGTTGCAAATGGAATTTTCAGAGACATAATTTCCACAGGAGACCCAACAACAAAGCACAGCCCTGTAGGATGTTTGTGCAGAAAGGCCTAACTGGTGGAGCTTTTTTTGAGAGTGTGAATATCAGGGGGAGGAAGGTCTGGCAATGGAGACCACTGCAGAAAACTGCATTTCCGCACACTGCAGGGACATGATCCTTTTGTCGGTGGGTCTTGTGGGTTTTTTCTTCATAGTAAGACACAGCATGAGAAAATATGGAGGGAGTAGGCTGAGCACCCGAGGTTGAGGAGGTCCTAGAGCTCAAGTATCTCCCCTTCTTTGGCTGCTGTATCATAGAGCATGGCAGCAGCCTGCAACCAAGCTACCAAAGAAAAGCTAGCTCAGTCACATGCTCAGCCACATAAATAGTCTTTCAGATTTTGCCAGAAAGATCACCTGCATTCTTTACAGCTTTTTGGGCACCTGCATACCTGACCAGGGTTCATGATGATCTAGCCAAATGTGCTGTTGCTTTGTGCATTCCCATCTGTTAGGAAACATAGTGCAGGTAGCTGTGCGTGCAGTAGCAGTGCTGAGTTCCAGACTGAGCTCTGGGTGAAGGACACCCAGGCAAGAGGCCTGAACTGCTGAATCTCTGCCTAACAAAGCCTGGTGCTGAGCCCTCAAGAAAACCTGGTCTGACTGTGTGAGTGGGGTGTGTAGGGAGTCAAGCAGGACACCTGTTGGCTTCGCTGGAGCTGCCCACTGCAAACAGGCTTTGGTCCTGCTGCAGAAGGTGTGGCTCTGACTGCCAGAGTGGCTGCTGGATGACTGCACAGGGAAGTTTCCTTAACATCGCCATCCATGGAATACTCTATTAACTCTCCTTTCTAAATACTGTCATCTCTAAAGGAGAAGTACCTGGCAGCTTACATATCCCTGTCTGTTTTCTGTCATACAGTCGGAATCTAACCTCTTGGAATAAGATACTGTCTTCACTTACCAGTTAAAACCACTTTTCCAGAAACAAAAATAAGCAGAACAATTCTTGGCTTAATCATTCTGTAGATTAAGCCAGGAAACAATTCTGGCTCGTAGCTGTAAGAGAAGAGAGTGTGTTTAAATGTGCTTGCAGACCCATGTTCCACCCTATCTTCTGGGCCCAGTCCAGGACTGGGCAGAGAAGGTGTAGACTTCCCTGAAACCTGGGGAGGGTAGCAGGAAACATCATTTTGACAGGTTCACATTGGGCAACCTCAGTTACACCTGAGGCAGTGCAGAGATGGGAACAAAGATGCAAGTTTCTCTGTGGTGCAAGGGAATAATCTAAACAGATGTCACCTTCTAAGATAGTATGCAACAAAAATGAAACATAAACAAGCCTTTTTTTACCTGCTGAACTGCTGATGTGTGAGTACCAATCCTTCCAGTCTGATGGGAAATTTCACATCACAGCTACCCACCATATTCTGAATTTTAAAATCCAAAAATTTTGCAGGAAAACCCAGTTTCTGAACAACTCTTGCATACTTCCTTGCAGCCAGTCTGGATTGCTCCTCACTGAAGTGAGAAAAGGATATCCATATTACTGCCTCAGTTAAGTATTACTTCAAACAAACAGCATTAAACCACAAATACCTAACTGGGGAAAAAAGTCTGTGTGGACAGAGAGGGGAGTTCACATGCAAAATTTTTACATCCAAAATTAACAATTAGTACTGACTGGTTTTCATGCTAATTTTGGTAATAGGCTCCTGAACACCATTAGTGGTGCACTCACTGTTCATGAGACACAAAACAGTAAATTATAAATCCATACACATTACATTTTTTAAATATTGACCAGAGTCCCTCTAGTGGGACATTAAGATTGTTACATAAGTTTTCACCATAGAACAACCTTGAACTACTACTACTACTACTACTACTACTACTACTACTACTACTACTACTACTACTACTACTACTACTGTATTTCTATAAAAATCTGTCAACTGGCAACGTCTTCTGCTTGATTCAGCCCAGGCATTCAAACATGGGTTTAATGCAACTGCACAGCCTTACCCACTGTTGCAGAATTCAGTTTCCTTCAGGACTGTAAACAGCTGAGAATCTGTTTGCTGCTGATGCAGAGTAAGACAACTTGAATTTCAAGTGTCACTAGGTAGAGAAAGTGTTTCCCTGTACAGATCTATTAATTAATCTCTGCTCATTAGTTTATTCCTTCTGGATTACTAGCAGACTTCTTCAGAGCAGAATTTCTCTCCTGCCCACTAGAGTTAAGATTATGTTTAGTTTTCAATTCTTGTGCTTCAATGGTCCTGTTAAGAACAGATCACACTACAGGAACCAGAGATTTGGAGCTCTTGTACTGTGATGAATGAAGCTATTCAAATATAAAATCCTTCCCTCACCATCATTACAATTTAAGCAGTTCCAATGCATAGCTGCTGAATTTAATTATTAGAAAAAGCAGATAACTGCAAGGCCAAAAAATGAATATAATAAATGGATAAAATATGTTATATATAACTGCAAACCAGTTTACCAGACTGAATGACAGTACTTCAGAAATAGAACTACCATTTCCCCAAAAGTCAGGAAGTCTCTTCAATCATAAACAGGCATTTTCTGTAGACATATGTATAATCTAAGGTAACTGTGAAGCAAGATTAGTTGTACCTGTACAACTTTGATGTGTCTATATAAACAAGCATCATGGCACATGAAAAAAAGATAGCCTGAGCTAGTTTGCTTGTAATGCCTAAACATACCTTTTTGCTCCTGTGCACACCATTTTTCCAGAGCTGAAGATCAGTGCAGTAGTACGTGGTTCTCTTATTCTCATAATAACAGCAGCAAAACGCTGAAGTGTGAGCATTGAAACTGTTAGTGATATACTGCTGTCATCATTACATTAAAACCAAATCTGCATCATCTTAGTTACACTGCAGTTCAAGGAGAACTATCAAACATACTTACAGATCACTCAAAGTTTACTTGAAATTTAAGTTAACTTAAACCGTAAGTATCTTCAAGCACACACACTGAGAGGTAGAGCCAGGCAGGAAGGATATTTACCACTGCATTCCTGTTCATCTCTCATTACTATATATGCAACATATAAATAACGTTTCTATTGCATCAGAGCAATAGAAACAATTTTAAAAATATTTTTTTAAAAATTCCTCCATATGTGTTGGAATTTTATCTCTTATGAGTAGGATGGAAGACTATCCAAAAAAATGGACAGTGTTACAATACCAGCAAACAGAACTGCTGGAGATCAAAGTCCTGTGTAAACAGACGCCACCTCAGCTACCACTGTAGGACACAGCAGCCCGATTAGCTCTAGCTTTTTATTCTTAGTAAGCCTTTCCAAATATTCTTAAATTCCTTGAAACAAGAGATACTGGAAACTGAGGTGGGCACACATGTACACACACACACAAAAACGCGTTTGTTACATTTAACTTGGAACAGCTCACCCTGCAGTCCCATGAATTGTTCTGCTGACATCACCAAGGTGGTAGCGTGGGTTACCCAACAGCACATTTGTCAAAATATGACTTAAATAATATAGCCAAGCAACATCTTTCTTTGCTAGATGAATCTACTGACTAAATGTCAGGAGTGTGTTACATAACCCTTCTATCCCTCTGCCATGGAAAACAGTGTTTCATATTGGTTATTCTAGCCTACAAGTTTTACACAGCCACCTACCCTCTACATTAGGAGTTATCAAGGCATGCTCAAATTTTTGCTGCGCTAATATCTTACCCGCAATTATGTAACAGCATCACTGGTATAAACTTACAGTAAGAGTCATTTATCATACATGCCTGCATGTGTGCTTTAACCTTTAAGAGCAGAGTTTAGGTCAACTGCAGCAAAATACTAAATGCTAAAACAAGAAAAACACACACACCCCAGGAAAACTGAAGCCTTCACAAGACAAGCCAATTCAATTATGCAACATCTAAACTTTTTTTAGTGTCCAGCTACTGTTGTTGCAAAGATAACATATTCAAGAGGAGCCACCCAAAAGAAACATGAAGCAACATAATTTTCTTGATTTAATGCTCCAGTTCCTTTGCTGTTGTTCAGATTTCCCAAGCTAAAAGACGCTCCTTATTTCGAACCCCACTACTATTAAGAAGCAGCAGGCAACTTAAAAGTCAGTATGCAAAAAAATCAATTTAATTGATTTTGTTTTGATCCATTTTAATGTTCCACCAAACTTAGCCATCAGAAGCAATGAGATGGCAGAAGTACTGGAGAAGAACATGAGAGAACAGAGGGAAGTGAGACTATGAAAAATAAGTGAATGCCCTGTGACCGTAAGAATTCCAGAACAGCTAGGTGGAGAAAACCACAGCTCTGGCAGGAGTCCAGGATTTTAACTCTTCTTTCCTTTCTCCTTTTTGGGAGATAGGGGAAAAGATTTCATCATCAGACATTTCACAGTAGCAAGCAAAAAGAGCTCACTGAGTACTACAAACGAATATGCCCATATGAACAGCAGCAGAGGCCACCTCTACCAAAAAAGCTTGGCCAGTGTACTACACTGTTGGTTAAAGTTTTTCTAAATCTAACAACTTACAACCTGGTGTACATCACAGCTACCTCAGCATAAAAATGCTTTTTACTAATTTGAATGTCTTAAGTTTATTAAGATTTCCCTTTTAACTACAGTATAAAACTGCACATATAGCAGGTAAGTTTTTCAGTCTATTGCAGCAGCCTGCAGCCACAACCTGAGACTTTAATTTGTCTGTTATAGGATGAACTCTTAATACATTTCTCTTACCTTGGGATTATATTCAGCATTTCGGGCACGAAGTGCAATAGTTTTTAGGTCAAGTTTGCAACCAAGATTCACTGTAGACACAATATTCCTAAAGACAGATCAGAGAAATATATTAAAAAAACAATAAGGAATTTGTGTGTCTTCCTCATTTTTAAGCAAGACTAATCAATTTTAATTTTTTTTATTATTTTGTTTCTCCAAGTGAGTTTGAATGGCATCTTTCCTACTAACAGGAGCACTGAGCAGTGTTTTGGCTCAGGAACCTCCTTTTATAGGACAGAAGCTCCTAAGGCATAATTGCTGATTCCTCCTTATCTGTCAGCTATTATGAAAAATGTCTCATGAGAAGAATCTCTATTTCAGTTTGGCAGGAAAAATTACTGATGCTGAGAGCCCTCACCACAATCAGGGAAGCTGCTGGAAAGAGGAGAAAATGAGATAGTACCATCTGAAATTTTCCTTGCTATATCCTTCAAGGAGGAGGGTGCAAAACTAAGTGGGAATGGCCCAGAAGGTAAATGCATTGCCAGGAGATGGGATAGCAGGTCTCCAGAAAGTTTTTAAAAGTTACTAGATAAAAATTTTTCTTTTCTGGGAAAACCCTGAAATATAAAGGTCCTCAGTGAGGGAAAAAAAAAGTAAGAAAAATATGAGAAACTACTCTTTCAATTCATACTATCAACCATTTCTCGTGGTCCCTTCCACAAATTTCTGAAGTAGTCTCTTTAAAACTGAAATTCACTGAAAATACTTCCATACCTGAACTTAGAACTAGTTCTAGGGCTTTTTACCTTCTCACAAATTCAGTGTTAGCCAAGCACTGGAAAAGGAAACATCGTGAACTCCTAAAGTGCAAGGAGTTAAAAATTACGATGGTGTTAAATGAAGACATATATAACCCTCCATTAGCATGCTCCAAAGATGTACTGTTGACAAATCACTAAGAAACTGTTTATATTACTAAGCTAAGCTAAAAATAAAAGTAAAAATTACTCATATTGCTACAGCAGACTCAAATTCTCAGGGCCTCCCTTCCCACCAAAATGCAGTACCTAATTCCTGATGTGACTTTGGTCCTAAGTCTTTAAAGGGCTATCTGAGAAAGAACATGATGCACTAACACATGGGGCACTCACTGTAGTTGTGGTACTATGCCAGAGCTCTCTGACGCTGGTGTTGCAGGAGTTATTGGAGTCATTGGAGTCATTGGAGAGGAGTACAGAGGTGTGGTTCCTGGTAAAGGAGCTGTGGTAAGAGTCTGTGAATGGAAGAGCTGGGGGGTTTGACCAGATGTTCCCTGTGTCGCTTGCTGTGACGTGGATTGCTGTGCTGCTTGCTGCTGCTGCTGCTGCCGCTGCTGTTCCTCCAATATGGACAGGCTGTTGGTGCTCTGGACAGGCTGTGGTGTCAGTCCTGTGCCATATGGCATCATTGGGCTGAAAATTGGAATTCCTGGGGTCATTGCACCCTACAGAAGAAAACATGACATGAAAACCACAGATCATGATGACTCCATTTTGATTTTAAGAGACAAAGTTTTTGGGAGGAGTCAAAAATAAATCTGTTAGCCAAGTGGCTCATATCAAACCTAAAGCATCTAGCAGTAAATCATTAAAATCAGAAATGCAGATGTTCTATAGAATAAAGTACTACCCAAAGGAATCTAGAGAACATGACATGCTTCCCCCACTACCTTGCAAGTGTGTCTCAACTTTGACCCACAATTTAACTTGAAATTGTTTGAACACCAACTGTGCTCACTGCATTCATAGCCCAGCAACAATCTATTATGTACATAGTTTAAGGAGCAATCACAAAATTAAATTAATCTTTCCAACTTGTCACTCATGTTTCAACTTAAGAGGAACTCCATTAAGAAATCCCACATATATTCCATGTACAAGAAACCATGTGTTTCTTATATTTCTAAATATAGACATCAATGGTTTCAAAATTCTGCTTCATACTAGTATTATTCGATACCTAGCAAAATTTTTCAGGTCTGCGTCCAAAGAAACGTGAAGCTAGATGCAAGAAAGAGAAACCACTTTCATAAAGGAAATTCAGATGATAGTTACATTTTAAATAATTTGTTTTTACCTGAGGGGAGGCTAAGCCTTGAGCGTAGGGTGGCAAACTGTTGTTCTGATCCATGATTCCAGTTATTTCTTTGGTGAGGCCAGAAGTACTTCCTTCAATTAATTTAAATAAACTTCAAATCCTAGAGGTTTTTTAACCATTTAAAACATTACAGCGAAGTAGCTTTTAAAGCCAAGCTGAAAGTGTTAGGAAAACATCAGCTTCAGAAAAATATGAGTCTCCAACACTAACCAAAGCCTGGAAAGAAAAAATTATATTATTCTTGAGAATAAGATCTAAACACAAACCCAAAAGAAAACCTATCAGCTGCTGACTCAGATAAGAGACACCCACGTACAAATACATATAAGAACATTCACGCATACACAATCCATAAAAATAACCTTTTTCAGGCACACTCCATAGAAACTTTGCAGTATGATTCTGCTGAAGTCCCTGGCAGGTCACCTGACTCCCACGGGCAGGCCTCTGTCTAACCAAACCCTCCTGCACTAACAGCTCAAGCTGTTGATGCTCATTCTACTCCAAGCTTCGTTTTAGCTGCAAAAGCACTGATTTTTTCAGAATTTAATTTCCTTGGCTACTAATTGACATTGCTCTTAAGTCTCTTCCTGGCCATTTTAAGGCTTAGGCTTTCAAAAATTACTTTTTTTCTTCTATGAGAAAAGCATCGCAGCTCAAATCACAGCTAGGAAAACCTCTTCCATCCAATTACATAAAATAAAGCACTAACAGATTTCAAACTGTAATGACACCCATTTCATGAGAAAAAAGAAATATGTAAAGACAAATTTCAAGTACACAAGTGAAACATACAATTATTTTCTTTCATTTTTTAACTATACTTCTGCTGCTGTGTTATGGAAATAAACAGCAGAAGTGGAGAATTTAAATGTCATGGTACCAATGATATAAAATATTGTCCCATTAATTTATAAGTTTCTTTACTATTGCTAAGAAATACCCAAGGTCATTATTAGGCCAGAGGTAGGCCACCTCAAAATCTGAAGACAGCCTATTCAGCCTCTCTTTTAATATATGAGAGCTTAGAACTACAGTAATATTTACACTGCAGCTAGAAAGGCCTGCTTTTTTCCAGCCATGACCATAAGATATTATCATCTTTACCTTCACCAAAGGTATCAAGCAGAGCACCCAGGTTTTACAACGTGGGTACATAAAAGGCCTAAACATTATTCTGGAAAAAACAAAGTCAACTCCTTAACAGCCCAGCTATTTAGTAAGAAGGCTGGATACCAGGCATGCCAAAACCTGCACCCAGGGCATCGTCTACCCAGAGGTCCCTCCTCTACCCACTTAACGCGGCTTGCTCGGATCTCCACTACAAACACCGGGCGACGTTTCGGTCGAGGGAACAGAGTCCAGAAGCCGGAGACAGCCCGGAGGAGGCCCCGACCCACCCCCGAGGCTCCTTTCGGGCTCGCCACCACCACACGGCAGTGCTCGGCGTGCGGCCACAGCCTGCCCGCGCCCCGCAGCCCTCCTCACTCCCCATCCAACACCGGCCCGGCCCCGCGCAGCCCCCGCCCGCCCTCGCAGGGTCCCGCCGCGCCCATCCCGCCGCGGCTCGGGGGAGAGAAAGGCGGCCGCCGCCTCCGCGCCGCGGGAGTCCCTCCCCACTTCTCCGGTCGCGGCTCAGGCCGCCCCGGAGGTGCGGAGCAAGCTCGGCCCGCGCACCGTCCCCGCCCTCAGGGCCCGGTGTGCCCCGCACCATCGCGCCCCACCGGCCCGTCCGCGGGCAGGGGGCAGGGGGCGAGCGGCGGCCGCGGGGATCGGGGGCGCTCGGTACCTGGCGCTCGCTCCGCTCCCGCCGCGCTCAGCGCCCGCCGGAGCCCGGCCGCGCCCCGCCCCCGCGCCACCGGCGCGCCCGGCGCGTCACTTCCCGCCGCCAGCGGGACTGGAGCCTTCACAGAGAGGAGCCTTCGGAAATTAAACAAGGTCGAGTGCAGGGTCCTGCACCTGGAGCGGTGTAACCACATGCACCAGCACAGGCTGGGGTCAGCCCGCTGGGAAGCAGCTCTGTGGAGAAGGCCCTGGGCTCCTGGTGCAAACAGGCTCCATGAGCCAGCAGTGCCCCTGTGGCCAAGGCCAGTGCTGTCCTGGGGTGCATTAGGAAGAGCATTGCCAGGAGGTCGATCCTGCCCCTCTACTCAGCTCTGGCAAGGCCACATCTGGAGTGCTGTGTCCTGTTCTGGGTTCCTCAGGACAGGAGAATAATGGAGCTCCTGGAGCAGATGCAGCAGAGGACTGTAGAGATGATTAAGGGGTTGGAGCATCCACTTACGAGGAAAGGCTGAGGCACCTGGACCTGTTCAGCCTCGAGAAGAGACAACTCAGAGGGGACCTCATAAATGTGAATAAATATCTAAAGGGTGGGTGTGAAGAGGATTCATTTGGGCTCATCCTGGTAATGCCAAGCAATAGGACAAGAGGCAGTGGGCAGATACTGATGCACAGGAAGTTCTGCCTGGATATGGGAAGAATTTCTTTACTGTGCAGGTGACCAAGCACTGGTACAGATTGTCCTGAGAGGTTACGGAGTCTCCCTCACTGGAGATGTTCAAGAACCATCTGGACACAACCCTGTGTCAGGTGCTCTAGGATGAGCCTGCTTGAGCAGAACGGTTGCCCCAAATGACCCCCTGTAGTCCCTTCCAGATCCTGTGAATCTGAGGGGGTCCCTGGCAGTGCGCCAGGCCCTCACAGAAGCTGTGGTTCCTCACACTGGAGCGGTAGAGAGTTCCGCACTGCCGTGCTGCCAACTGCCGATCTCACCGCTGTGTCTGCACTGTGCCCATGGAGACTGCAGCCACCACGGCTGTGCTTCCCAAGCAGGGCAACACACTTCTCCTCAGGAGCACCATGTGTCCCCTGCATCTCACTGTCCCCACCCTCTACTCCCCTAGTATCTCTTCAAGCTTCTATCCCAGCCCTTCCCACTTGCTTCCACTTGTGCCATGGTGCCTGGCACCACACCCCATGGCCCACCTCAGGACCTAGTGATACCCCATCTGGAGTACTGTGTCCAGCTCAAGGAAGACCTGGACCTGTTGGAGCAAGTCCAGAGGAGGGCCACCAAGATGCTTAGAGGGACGAAGCACAAGGAAAGGCTGAGATAATTTTGATTATTCAGCCTGGATAAGAGAAGGCTTCAGGGTGACCTACTAGAAAGGTGGAGAGGGACTTTTCACAAGAGCATGTAGTGACAGGACTCAAACTGAAAGAGAGATGGTTTAGATTAGATATTAGGAGGAAGTTTTTGCTGTGAGGGTGGTGCATTACTGGCACAGATTGCCTTGGGAAGTTGTGGGTGCCCAGTCCCTGGAAGTTTTCAATGCAGGACGGAGCTCTGAGTGGCTTGGTCTAGTGAAAGTTGTCCCTGCCCGTGACAGGATTAGATGATCTTTAAGGTCTCTTCCGACTCCAACCACCCGATGATTCTATGATTCCCGACTCTTGCTCTTCACGGCGGTTCCAAAGGTGCTCTCCCCTACAGAACAGGAGCCACGCTGCTGCCCACCCGCCCAAACGCGAGCGGTGTGTTATCACCACTGATCAGCCTGCGTGGCTCCACGAGCGGGCACGCAGGCGCCAGGGCAGCGCCGGCATCGGCTCTTGTCCAAGCGCTGCCCGGGGGCCCAGGCACACACCGTGCCGCAGGCAGGGCCGGGGCGGGTTCCGCCCCTCGGCGGCCCTGCCGCCCTCCGGCCAGACCCCGGCGCTCGCCGCCCGGCAGAGCAGCCAAGAGGAGGCGGTGCCGCCGTCCAGAGCGGCTCCGCTTCCGCCTCCGGTGCCGCCATTTCGCCGTGAGACAGCAGCGATCGGGAGGCCGCGATGCTGTCTACCGCGGGATGCGGGCCCTCCCGGCCTGAGACGGGCTACGGGCTGGAGGCGCCCGTGCAGCACTACCGCTTCTCGCCGTACACCTTCAACGGAGGGTGAGGGGCCCGGGCAGGCAGCGGGCGGGACGGAGCACCCTCGGCCCGGAGTATGGGGCCCTGGGGAAAACGGCGCCGGGGTTGGGGCTGCCTCGCCTTATTCCTTTATATCCCCTCACGGGTTTATATCCCCTCACGGTCTCCTCTTTTTAGGGAGGGAGCGGCAGCACAAGCAGGAGCTGGGCTCGGGCTTGCCTTGAGGCCTTGCAGCCTTTCAGGGTGTTCTTGCCTGTCCGTGTGGCTTTTGGAACACTCGGGCTCCCTAAACTTTGGCTGATCTTAAAGTACGCATCTTTTGTTCCCCGCAGGGTAGTTTCTTTATAGTGGCTTAGAAAAAACAGGTAATGGTTCCTGTTACAGAATCACAGAGCTGTTAGGGCTGGTTGGATTAGGAGATCATCCAGTCCAACCCCCCTGCTAAGGCAGGGTCACCGCGAGCAGGTGACACCAGAACGCGTCCAGGTGGGTTTTGAATGTCTTCAGAGAGGGAGACTCCACGACTTCCTTGGGCAGCCTATTCCAATGCTCTGTCACCCTCAACGTTAAGTTCTTCCTCATGTTGAGGTGGAACTTCCTGTGTTTTAGTTTATGGCCTTTGCTTTTTACCATGCTGCTAGTAAATGTGTTACTGGGTTGAATGCTGCCTTGCTGTAACTGTTAAAGGCAGGTGATACTTTACACACCTGAATTGATGGTATGATCTTGCCAGGTTGGTTTTTTTTTCCTTAGGGTGACTACTGCTTTTTAAAGGGCATCTCTTTGTTACTTAATGGTAATACACCTGTGGTGATCACAAAACTAGTTGTTGGGAAGTAATAACACCAAATTTTAAAACTAGCGTTTATTTAAGTGTAGTGATACTGTTGCTCAATACTGTGCTTGTTTTAGGAGGATGAGTTATTATCAGGCATATAAAATACCTCATCCATTGGGTCTGGTTCTTGCCTGGTGGAGAGTCTCTGTTTTACCAAGTTTCCATACAATTTAAATCAGAGTAGAGTGCCACATATATAGAGTGCATATATTTTCTTCAGTCTGGCTAGAGTCTTCTTCCTTTGGTGTTGAGTAGGGATGTGCATAGTGGGAAACATAACAAGGAATGTAAGATACTTGACAAAACATGAGTCTGGGTGTAGAATTACTATCTAGTTTGTTTCTGTGTTGTCTAAGAAGGTGCTTGTGCTGCAGGTCATGATTTATCAATACTCTTTTTTTAAGGACTGTGCTGGCGATTGCTGGAGAAGACTTCTGTATCGTTGCCTCTGACACACGTCTGAGTGAAGGCTATTCAATTCACTCCCGGGACAGTCCAAAATGCTACAAGCTGTAAGTCCAGATCTTCAAGGATTGAAAAAGATGAAAAATCTTTTGTATTGCTGACCATGTCACCTGCCTCCTGCTTTAAGCAGAATTCTTAGAAGAAGAAGCACAGTAAAAAAGTAGATTTTGGAGTCGTGTTGACCTTTACTGCAATGGATGATGTGATATGATGTTGGATTATAATATAGCCAGATTTCTTGTTTCATGCTCTTGAAGTTAAGTGAGAGCAGAACATTTTTAGCATGATACAAACCTTAATGTGTAGTTTTTTGGCTGGATAATCAGAAGAATTTTTAATTTAACTGTAGCAAAACTTATCCCTAAAACTTATCCCATTCTGCATCTAGTGATTGTGTGCAAGTGTGTTCCACTGCTGCCAGTTGTACTGTATCTCTCTAGTTCATTACCTGGCACTTTAGAGAGGTGTTTGTTTTAGGGGAGGTAAACCTATCAGTAGTTCCATAATTTAACTTTCTTTGCTCATTTTATGCTTAGTTTCACTCAGCTGCCTAGCATCTCCTTGGTTTACAGCTACATGTTATTTATGTTCATTTTACTGCAGCAAGTGCTTGCCTTGTAGGCTGTCATCAACTATGTAACCTTTTTTTTTGTTTGTCTGGGTTATTGTTTCTTTTTCTAACTTGATGACATGAAATCAAAATAACTTGGTTTCTCCTGGCTAACTTGTTACTGCTATGTGTTTGACTCTCTGATACAGTCCAGATGGAGCTTAGTCTGGTGCAGTATACATAACTGTACACGGTGGCTTTGTGAAAGTCTAGTGATGGGCTGAGAGTGGATTTTGTTTTAAGATGTTTTCTGAATGACTGCTTTGGATTGTTCAGTGTGTATTAATGTTTCTAGACTCTTTTCTGTTTCCTAGAATCAAAATTTCAAGTGTGTGTTCTCGTGGCTGGTGTTCATAAAACATTTCAAAACTGAGCAGAGCTGAGCTTCTCTAGTGCATCTGCAGCCAGATAACTTCTGTTTGTGCTGACAGAAGCCGCCAAAACCATAAATGTCACGTAACCATTGTACCAGCTTATAACAGGTCTTCTAGTAAGACTGAATTGCTACAGCTGGAGCTGGGGTGCATGAAGAAATGGAGTTTCTTTTTGTCAGTCTTACTGACAGCTGAAGAAGGAAGTGGGTTGAAGAAAGACATCTGCGTGGTCCTGCGTTTATTGAGTCCTCTTGGAGATGTAGGTTGCAGGTGCCTTTTGTACACCACAAATCTGTTACTACGTTTTAGACAACTGTTTTTGACCGCACTAGAAAAACTGAAAATACATTTGGTGTTTTCATAATAACCTATTGTGTAAGAAATTGCTGTTGTTGATGCTAAGTCTAAATTGTAACAAAATGTTACATTTTTCAGAACAGAACAAACTGTCATTGGATGCACTGGTTTCCATGGAGACTGCCTTACCCTTACTAAAATTATTGAAGCCAGATTAAAGGTAACTATGACTCTTACTGTATTTAGAAGCTTAGATTCTTAATATTATACTTGAGACCAATAATATGATATGTTTTAATTATAACTTCTGCTGGCTTTTTCCCAAGTGTTTGTATCATAACTGTGTTGC